TGCACACACACCTGGAGGAGACACACACACACACACACACACACACACACACAGAGAGAGAGAGAGAGAGAGAGAGAGAGAGAGAGAGAGAATGTAACAGTCCACCCACAGAACTTTGGCCTTTGGTTGGACTTCTAATACAATACAGTAGGAACTCTGCAAGATTAGTATCCGCTGATTCACTTATCCGCAGCCTGAAATTATTAAATAAAAAAACCCAGAGTGGGTCTTTGGCAGGGTGTATCAACCAGAACTATCCACTAGAGGGGGACAGAGACCGTGCAATGCACAGTGTTCCATAATTTCACGTTTTCCAGCATCTGCAGCAGGGCTTGGAGCCAGTCTCCGACACGGACACCACATTCCTACAGTCAATAAATCTTGCAGGAATTTTCAATTCCTTACAGAAGGGGAAACAACTGGGGGGGGGTCAATAATATGGAAAACAAGACGCTCTGTCGTATTAGACGTGGCAGAGTTGAAAGAGCACCTTCCCCCATGTGCCCCCGCTGAAGAGCAACTATGGTATGAATGGCAGCTACCCAGGGTAAAGCATGATGGGAGCTGTAGTCCACACACCCAGGAGGTGTGAGGCTAGCACCCTTTCCTGGCCACAGTCTCCAGGACCTCTTCCAATCCTCTTCTACAGCCCTCCAGGTTGGCAGCTGTCCTTGCCTCCTGTGGCAGTGAGTTCCGCTGTGTAATTCTCACCTTTAGGGATCAACTCCTCTCTTCTCTCTCGTGAATCTCCCTTCCTTTGGGTTTGTGTGATGAAAACAAGCTCTGGGATTCCGAGAGAGGGCAAGACGTGTGTGTGTTTAGTCTTCTCTCTCGTGAATCTCCCTTCCTTTGGGGTTCATGGGATGAAAACAAGGATTCCGAGAGAGGGCAAGACATGTTTCTCTTTTTGTTTTCTCCAAGCCATTCATGATTTTTTTTAAAAAAAAAACTTTGGCCTTTCCTTACGCCTTTTTCCCTTGCTTTGCTTAATGATCACAATTTTATTTTTTATTTTTGGCTCAGGCAGAAGCACTAAAGACACCAGGTAGGGCTGAGCCATCTTCTGTTTGCAAGATTAGAGAGCCCTCAAGGACACTTTCGTTGAGATCAAAACCACGAAATGGAAAGAGACGACGCAGGCAGAGAATGAGGACAAACTCAAGCGGAAAAAAACCCCACAACACCCTCAACAGACGGTCTCTTTCTATCTAATGAAGCCAAGAGGGACCCACTTTCTGCTTCCCAGACACCTCCAGCACCACAATTCAAAGGCATCAATTCTTCGGCGGTCTGCTTTCTTTATGGTCCAGCTCTCACTTCCACTTGTCAGACACGTTTCCCTTTTTGTTTTCTCCAAGCCATTCATGATTTTTTTTAAAAAAAAAACTTTGGCCTTTCCTTACGCCTTTGCTTTTTCCCTTGCTTAATGATCACAATTTTATTTTTTATTTTTGGCTCAGGCAGAAGCACTAAAGACACCAGGTAGGGCTGAGCCATCTTCTGTTTGCAAGATTAGAGAGCCCTCAAGGACACTTTCGTTGAGATCAAAACCACGAAATGGAAAGAGACGACGCAGGCAGAGAATGAGGACAAACTCAAGCGGAAAAAAACCCCACAACACCCTCAACAGACGGTCTCTTTCTATCTAATGAAGCCAAGAGGGACCCACTTTCTGCTTCCCAGACACCAACATTGACGTCAGTGGAAGACGCAGGAGTTTTTGCCATGGCCACAACACACACACACACACAAGGCCTTAGGAAAACATTTCTGTTACGTTTCATAAGACGAAGAGGCAAGGAAATGGAAGAGGTGGAGAGCAAGGGAAAAGCTCATCGCGTGGCAGAATCTGAATCGTGACCAGAGATGTGGATCTAGGCAGGCTTCTGAATTAGGGCATCCACTTCAGGATTTGTCCCCCAATGTCTCTTCAGGGTCACTCGGAGCCTGCAAAGTTTGCTTTGCTTTGGACTTTAACTATAGACGCACGTACCCTGCTCATTTTTTCCAAGCACTAGACAATTTTGGGGTCTCTTTTTAAGGTGGAGTCGGAGGAAAAGTCATACGACGGGGCATCCAGGCAGGTTTTCCATGGGTTGGAATGATTCTGCACCCGAGCGCTCCCCGTGTCCACAACATGAGAAAGGGAATGATGGAGAAGTTGTACCTTCCATAGAGAAAGCGAGCATCCCAGGGAGAGGATTACTGTCTTCCTTCCAACATATTCTCAGACTATGAATATGGGCTGTACATCACAGAGACCCTCAGCACCCTTTCACACCCACAAATACCCCTGTTCCAGAATGAAGCGGGGAGTTCTAGCCACTCCCGGGTTATTTCTCTCCCTCCCTCCCTACCTCATATTGGCCAGAAATGTGACCCAAATCTGCTAAAGCTGACCAACCTGATTAAAGGAAATATTCATATTGTGCATGTACTTATTCTCCCCTGGACTACAAAGAGATCAAACCTCTCCATTCTGAAGGAAATCAATCCTGAGTGCTCCCTGGAAGGACAGATCCTGAAGCTGAGGCTCCAATCCTTTGGCCATCTCATGAGAAGAGAAGACTCCTTGGAAAAGACCCTGATGTTGGGAAAATGTGAAGGCAAGAAGAGAAGGGGACGACAGAGGATGAGATGGATGGACAGGGTCATCGAAGCGACCAACATGACTTTGACCCAACTCTGGGAGGCAGTGGAAGACAAGAGGGCCTGGCGTGCTCTGGTCCATGGGGTCACGAAGAGTCGGACACGACTTAATGACTCAACAACAACTTAATTGTCCCTCTTGGCATAGTGGTTAAACTGCAGGACTGCAGTCAAGACTCTTTTCATGACCTGAGTTTCATCCCAGCTGGCTCAAGAAGGCAGGACCGAGATGGACTCAGCCTTACATTCTTCTGAAGGAGGTAAACTGAGTCCCCAGCTCACTGGGGGTGGGGTGAGAGGTGGCAGTGTGTGGCCTGCATGATTAAACTGGAAACTGCCCAGAGAGTGCCAATTAACCATAGGAAGTGACCAGCGCTCGAACGCTGGAGGCATTGAAGAGAAAACTGGATCACCCTGCGTCCGATCGGCTTTGCCTTTGCCTTTGCCTTGAGCAAGCAGGGGGTTGGACGTGATAGTCCGGGCACCCCTTCCAACTCTGTGATCCTATGATCCCCTATTCCCTTCTCCCTGAAATCTTTGCTCAAGCGCTCATCGTCCATCAAAGGCTTTGCCTCCATGCTGCAAGCAAAACCTCATTAAGAATCCTTCCAGCGCCAGACGCTCTGGAGGGACCGTCCGCTGGGAAACGTCTGCTCATCTTTGAAAGGTCTCCCCTTTTTCCTGATGTGCTGGCCCTCCCCGTTTCAATTCTCCGGCAGACAAAAGGCGCGAATCAAAATGGCGAGGGAGAGACAAAAGGGCTGTTTCCTTTGTGCCGTCAAGACCGGGCGGGAATCCGTCCCAGAATCCTGCGAAAACCACCCTCCTTCTGGAGCTCATCTGAGGCTTCTAAGGGGTGGTGGTGGTGGTGGTTTATTCTCAGTAAAAGCAACACCTTCGAGAAAACCACCGAGGCTGACGTCTGCAGAGGATCCCACCTTTCGACACGCTAGCAACACATGCAAAATGGAAAGCCGGTCATCCAGAGAAAGAGGGCAGCTATAGAACCAAACCGGGCATCTGAGCCCAAAATTGTGGAGAAGAATGTTTTTCATAAAATCACAGAATAGTGGAAGGGATCTCTAAGGTCATCAAGCCCAACCCCCTGCTCGATCCAGGAATACAAATCAAAGGGTATTTGTCAGGGTGGTTGTCTAAATATCTCTCGAATGCCTTTAGTGTTGGCGCGCTTACCGCCCGCCCTTGGTGGTTGGTTCCATCGTGGTACAGCTCTAACAGTTAGGAAGTTTTCCCAGATAATCCAACAAATCTGGTTTTGTTCTCCTGGTTCTTGCAACCCCCCAAAAAGCAGCAAGGGGAGTTGTTTTAAGCTGAAAACCTTGGGAGAGATGAACCCAAGGTTTTCAAACCCAAACCTGTAGCTGCTGAACTACAGTCTCCATCATCCCCTGCTAGCTAGGGAGGATGAGGTGCATCGTGCAAGGGATCTGCAGAGCTGAAGACAGCTGGAATTAAAGGACACCACCTCGGCTTTGGAGAGCTGGAGATGAAGAGAGAGAGAGAGAGACGCTCTCCCAAACTCTGTGGCTGAGATGGGACACCACCAGATACATGGCTTTTGAGGGAGTTCATGGTGACGTGGGAGCTTTCTCTGTGGCGTCCCCTTTTGATGGGCCATTCCCGAAGACCACCAAGAACGAGCAACTGTGGTTCAGTGAAGGAATGTATGATCTGCATGGAGAAAGCATCGCAGAGTTTTGATTTTGGCTAAACTTCTCTAGCTGCACAGCCAAAGTGTCGGAGTTCACAGAGCAGAACGAGCTTCACCTTGCCCAGAGTAGACCACCCCCCTTTTCTTCCCCCTCATTAACTGGCACTTACAGTATGTATAACTAACTCTAAGGCATTAGTCATAGAAAGAAGAGAAGGTTTCATTTACTCCCAGATCCACAGATCTACAGCAAACTAAGAACAAACATGACTGATTTTCAGCAACAGGCCTCAACAGACTCACGCCTGTTTCCAGCAGACTCCTGTAGACTTGTTGTTTAATCGTTAAGTCGTGTCTGACTCTTCTTCGTGACCCCACGGACCAGAGCACACCAGGCCTGTCTTCCACTGCCTCCCGAAGTTTGGTCAAATTCATGTTGATCACTTCGATGACATTGTCCATCCATCTCGTCCTCCGTTATCAACTTCTCCTCTTGCCTTCACTCTTTCCCAACATCAAGGTCTTTTCCAGGGAGTCTTCTCTTCTCGTGAGATGGCCAAAGTATTGGAGCCTCAGCTTCAGGATCTGGCCTTTCAGGGAGCACTCAGGGTTGATTTCCTTCAAAGTGGATAGGTTTGTTCTCTTTGCAGTCCAGGGGACTCTCAAGGGTCTCCTCCAACACCACAATTCAAAAGCATCCATTCTTCAGCGGTCAGCCTTCTTTATGGTCCAGCTCTCACTTCCATTCATCTCTACTGGAAAAACCATAGCTTTGACGATGCAGACCTTTGTTGGCAATGTCTCTGCTTTTTAGGTGATGTCCTTTTAAGGTGATGTCTCTGCTTTTTAAGATGCTGTCTAGGTTTGTCATCACTTTCCTCCCAAGAAGCAGTCACCTCTTAATTTCGTGGCTGCTGTCTAATTTCGTGTAGCCTTTGACTACATTCACATCACTGCATACTGCTTGCTAACGGACTGACTAAAAGAGAGGAGAAAAGACACTTAAGCAGAGAGGCGTGGCTGTCTTTGACACCAGAGACTGGGAAGAAACATCTGGTTACTGCTGGATTGATTGAGCGTCACCCCAGCTTCTAGAAAGGTCCCTCCTAGCCCCACTTACGAAAGGCAACCTACGAGGTTGAAAGAACTCCCAACAGAAAGTTCCAGCTTTAATCCTTGGTATCTCTACTGGGTTATATATACTGGGTTATACAGGTTAATTTCCAGCTAGGCCAGGGTGGTTCACAGCTTTTGAGCAGGAAACAACTAGCATTCCATACGCAGAGGATGAAAAGAGGATGTGATAAGGGAGATCAAGGTGTGAGGCAAAGGCCAGGGGAAAGACTTCAGGAAGGGGTTCCACTGAGCTGTTTGTTTCTGATCCTCCCCGTTAACGCATCCCTTACCCATATCGGTGCCTGCTCACATCTCTGATGAGCTTTTCGGAGAGGTAGGCGCCGATGCGGTCCAGCTTCTCAGGGGCCGAGAGGGCGTAGAAGGTCAGCTTCTCCATGTTGGTCTTCACCAGCCCGTCCTGGAAGAAAGACAAGAAGGGTGAACCTCTCCCTTGAGTCTTGAACCCACGGCCTGTGGGAGGCCCTGTGGCTCTCTCTGACCACGGGAATGACCCGTAGGAATGGGATGAGAAAAGCTGAGCAGGCCAAGGGCCAAATCCCAGCCAAGGGTGGAGCCAAAGACCCGTGGATGGGGCTCAGACATGACCTTCTCTCCTCAGGGCGATTCCTTACCAAGCATCTAAAGCATTGCCTGCCTCCCCTTCCGTGTTTTTTTCCTGGCTATAAACCAGAGCTCACTTGCATGCAATCCCTTCCTGAATTTTAAGTAGCCTCTTATCTCCGATCAAGGATTGGAGATAAGAGTAGACGTCTGCAGGCAGGATGGGCCGTCCCTCTGTACGGAATCAAGCCCGCAGGAGGGAGGTTGATCATCACCCATGAAATTAAAAGGAATAAGTGGGGGGGGGAAGCTTCTTGATGAGCCTGTGGCTGGACCAGCTAAGGCCCAGAACCCACCCACCCCCCAATAAAAGCTCCCTATTTCAGATTCCCTCACTTGTCGGACAGGATGATGTTCCTGGTTGCGAATTGCCTTCTGAGTCTCACTCAGCATCATCGGAGCTATTCTTTGGTTTGTGAGGAAATGCTGCCTCCATCTTTCCAAGTGCCAGGCAGGTCAGGAGTCCTGGGTTCAAATCCCCACCCCGTCGGCAGCCACGGCTGCATTTTCCGGCAGTCAACGCCACCGTTTCGCTTTGCACGCTGTGAAGGGTGTGCCGTCAGGCGGATGCTTCCTGGAGGAATTTCTGCCTCAATCCTGAAGCCCTGCACGGCAGCGGCTGTTCCTGGCCTTCCAACCCTGATCAGCCGGCGTAGGAGACAGAAGAAGCAGTTTGGGACCCATGTGGAAGGAACCGCTCAAAGCAAACTGGAGAGGGAGGGGGAGTAAAGGTGGGGGTACCTGGACCCACGCTGGGCCAAGAGCTCCACGTTGCTCCCAACCATCTGTCAAGCTTCGAAAGCACAGCTCCTGTCAAAGAAGTGCTTTCTTGGCTCCGTGAGATCACCGTCGCCTCCGCCTCTTCTTTCCGGCGTTTGGCATCTCGCTTGGAAACGTGGGGAGAATGACACGTTGCTGCCTGGCATAAAGCACCCCCTTCCCCTTCGTGGGCAGAGGTGGTCTAATTTGGGAACAACCCGCTAAAGGTGCGGGGGCTCTGCCCGCTCGCCGGCATCCTCCACAACAGATGCCATTTCCGAGGTTTCATCTCTGGAGGCCAACGCGCTGAAACGGAGTCTCGTCCTGAGAAGGCAGGAGGCTCAGGAAAAGACCCCCGTTGCTGAGAAAGGGGGAGGGCAGCTGGGAAAGAGGAAGACTCCATACGGGATGCACTGACCCCCTCAAGGAAGCCACAGGCTGAAGTTTGGCAAGCGCGGAGCAGGGCTGCTGAGGACAGGACATTTGGGAGATGGCTCATTAATGGGGTCGCCATTAAGTCCAAGGCTGGGACACAACGACGAGGACAGGACATTTGGGAGATGGCTCATTCATGGGGTCGCCATTAAGTCCAAGGCCACTTGCTGGGACACAACGATGACATCAAGTACAGGAGGACCCCATATCCAAAGGGAATCAATGCCAAGTCCTACCCACCCCATGGATGCAGATTATTGTTGTTGTTTAGTCATCAACTCTTCATAACCCCACGGACCAGAGCACACCAGGCTCTCCTGTCTTCTGCTGCCTCCCGGAGTTGGGTCAAATTCATGTTGGTCGCTTCGGTGACCCTGTCCATCCATCCTGTCCTCTGTTGCCCCTTCTTTTCTTGCCTTCACACTTTCCCAACATCACGGTCTTTTCCAGGGAGTCTTCTCTTCTCAAGAGATGGCCAAAGTCTTGGAGCCTCAGCTTCAGGATCTGTCCTTCCAGTGAGCACTCAAGGTTGATTTCCTTTAGAATGGATAGGTTTGTTCTCCTTGCAGTCCAGGGGACTCTCAAGAGCCTCCTCCAGCGCCACAATTCAAAGGCATCAATTGTTCGGCGGTCAGCTTTCTTTATGGTCCAACTCTCACTTCCATATATCACTACAGGAAAAAACATAGCTTTGACGATGCGGACCTTTGTCGGCAAGATGATGTCTCTGCTTTTTAAGATGTTGTCTAGGTTTGTTATCGCTTCCCTCCCAAGAAGCAGGCGTCTTTTAATTTTGTGGCTGCTGTCTCCACCTGCAGTGATCCTGGAGCCCAAGAAGGCAAGATCTGTCACTGCCTCCACATCTTCCCCTTCTATTTCCCAGGAGGTGATGGGACCAGTGGCCATGATCTTAGTGTTGTTTTTTATGTTGAGCTTCAGACCATTTTTGCACTCTCCTCTTTCACCCTCATTAAGAGGTTCTTTAATTCCTCCTCAATTTCTCCTATTATAGTGGTATCATCTGCATGTCAGAGGTTGTTGATATTTCTTCTGGCAATCGTAATTCCGGCATGGGATTCCTCCAGTACAGCCTTTCACATGATGTATTCTGCATATAAGTTAAATAAGCAGGGAGACAATATATAGCCTTGTCATACTGCTTTCCCGATTTTGAACCAATCAGTTGTTCCATATCCAGTTCTAACTGTTTCTCAGGAGATAGATAAGGTGGTCAGGCACTCCCATTTCTTTAAGGACTTGCCATAGTTTGCTGTGGTCCACACAATTTGTAAGGCCTTGTTGGATAGCCACTTTGCTTTCTTGCATTTCTTTTTCTTTGGGATGGTTTTTGCTGCTGCTTCCTGTACAATGTTACGAACCACCATCCATAGTTCTTTAGACACTTTCTCCAGCAAATCTTGTTCCTTAAATCTGTTCTTCACTTCCATTATGTATTCATAAGGGATTTGATTTAGATTATACTTGACTAGCCCAGTGGTTTTTCGTACTTTCTTCAGTTTAAGCTTGAATTTTGCTATGAGAAGCTGATGATCAGAGCCACAATCAGCTCGAAGTCTTGTTTTTGCTGACTGTATAGAGCTTCTCCATCTTTGGCTGCAGAGAA